GATGTTTACAGGCCATGGCAGGCCAGATCTCTGTGCCACAGCCAAAAGAGGAAGGAGGCTTTACGTGATAGTGTAAGGTACTCAGGTTACTTGTTTTCAGATTGTACACAGAGAATTGATGTGGGAGTGTGAGGTGTTCTTTTGAAAGCAGAAAACCAAGGTGACTTGGAGGTAGCGGAAGAGTTTAGAATCATAGAATACTAGAACTGGAAGGGACTTTGAGAGGTCATCGAGTCCAGTCCCCTGCCCTCATGGCCTTGTGTAGGTCAGGACTAGAACCGCCGAGTTTTTCAGTAGTTCTGGCTGGGATAACAAGGGTTTCTTTTCACATAAAATGGAGGCTTTGAAATCTGTTTGTGTTCCCCACAGACCCTTTGAACTCTTATGTGAAAAAAAGGTCTGGGAGGGGGGAAGATTTGGAGCAGGGACGTGACTCTGGGCTTCCCACATCTAAGGTGAATACTCTAACTTCTGGGCAGCTGGCTATTCTGTGTGTGTTCCTGTCTTGTGTACTCTTGGTTTTGGACCCAGAAACTTTCCCAACTAACATTTCATCAGAACTGATAGGTTTGCACCAAGAGTTTTCATTTCAAGGAATTGTTATTTTCCTACAGAAACATTTTATCGAAAACCTCATGACTAGCTCTCCTCTCTCTTTTGGTGCCTTTTCATATCATTCATATAGGGAACCTCATGCTGCAGAGGGTAAGCCAAAAATCAGTGGCTTTTCTGTGGCTCTGTCGGGGCTGCTCACAGCAGTGGGGAGCTGTCATTGCCTGACTGATAACTGGGGGTGCCGATACGCTGTGCAGCTTTCGATCAGGTTCTTGACACCCACATAGTTTTCCCACAAGGTCTTGCCCGAGCTTCTACCAGCCTTGTTACTCTTTGCAGGATAATACCTGCAGCCACCCAATCCTGAGCCTCTCAAAATTGGGCCTTCCAGCCACTCCTCCTTAAGTACCAGACACTTGGACTTTTCCTCTCTCATTGTGACCCCCAAACGAAGGGGTGAGTGAAACCAGCCATCCTGGCAGCTTCATTACGGATGTGTGCTCCATGGAGCTGCTCACCAGGGACCTGGTTGGGTTAAAAACAAATACAAAGTTTAGTTAATGGAAAACCCCCAGATTGAAAAATGAAATTGTGAGAGAGAGCAGCAGATAGATGCAAGTTGCACAGAAAATGAACAGAAATACGCCACCTTAGGCTTTCCACTTTGTATTAAATCAAATCCCTTCTCTAATGCAAGTTACCTATTGCCTGGGAGCCCTTTCCCGCGTAACTTGGCATATACAGACAGCCTCCCACTTTCAAGACTGCCCCTCAGGTTCTTCATGCCAAACCTCAGATACAAGCCTGATTTTTAAAAGGCTTTTTCCGCTCTGTCCATGGTGTTTCGTGTTTATTCAGAGCAGAGGAAAATCCTCCTCAAGACTTGATAGCTGGAGAGGTCTCAGTGTTTTCCCATTAACTCCCGTTGGTCCACCATTGTCCTTTCCTAGGCTGCACAGTCATTTCTTGGAACTGGTTTTGCATAAACATCTGGTGTGGGAGGATCCCATCCGCACTTAACTGCTTCCTGCCCTGCTGTGAGGGATAGCAGAATATTTCAACACAAATTATACGCAGACTTTTGTAAATACACAAGTACGTACATTGATAACCACAGTCTTTATCTCATAATGACCATCCAGTTCAGAACATTACAAGCTTTCATAAAATATAGCTTACAGTCAGTTGGTTCAGCTGCTCATTTGGGGGGTGTGTGAGGGGCTAAAGCTTACATTCTCCCCTTGGTGTATCTGGACTCTGATTGTCATAGAACCTCTGTTACCAGTTGGACAAAATGTCTCACTCTGTGGTTTCTAGTTCAGTGACCAGCCATCCACTGGCTTTGCTGTTATAATTGTTAGCTATAGATGACCAATGCATGGTGTGTCCCTAGGCTGCTAGGCAAATCGAGAGCTTCATCTTCTTACTATATATTTTAGAAATGTGCATCTGTCTGTCCGTCCATCTGAGAGTCCATTTGTTCAAGAACTCTTCCTAAATGGTAAGAGCTAGGGCCACCAAATTTGTCTTAACTTACCATAATTTAAAGCAGTGCAAAGGTTTGGTTGTGCTAGGAAAATGGGACAATGGAATTTGATTGTGTCTCATAAATGGAAAGGGAGGGGTCTGGTAGGAGGGAGTTATACTGCAGAATGACCACGGGGGGGCAGCATGGGGCCAGAGATGGGGACCTGGACAGCTATAACCCAACTAGGCCAGCAGGGAATGGGAATGGGGATGGAGAAAGGAACAGCTGTCTACTATTTATTTCAGAGTTTGTCTGTTTGTGTTTCTCTGTCCCCCACTTGGGGGAGAGACCAAGCTGTGCCTGCTGCAGCTTCTCACCTGGCCCCAAGCTGCTCTGCTGACAGAGAGCTGGGGTAGTCGTGTCTCTGGGGCAGCCTGTCTCTGGGGCAACCCTCACTCCCAGCTCCACCCCACAACAATGATTTAAATGAAGAAAAACAAAACATTGAGTTAAGGACCTGAGCAATGCTGGGTAAATCTTCTAGTAAGAACAGACATACTGGGCCAGACCAAAGGTCCATTTAGCCCGGGATTCTGTCACCAAAATCCCCATCCTTCTCTGCAGTATTCCAGGCGCAGCGTCAGTGCTGATATGTGGGTTTGTCAAGGTGATAAAAGATGTCTCTCTCCCTCATGACGGAATATTGTAAATTTGTGATTACATGGAAAGCAGATTAGTCATCCATCTTGCGGGCTGGAGTCTTCCCAAACCACACTACAGTTCAGAGTCAGCGATAGCACCAACAAGATTCACCCCGTGCCCAAAGATTAGTCTGCCTCCTCACAATGTTTACCTGCTCTGTGCAGAACTGGGGTGATTCCCGTCAGCTTTGCCAGCTCTCTACAAAAGAGATCGGTAGTTCTTCCTTTATGTCCCTGTTATCCCCATTTGTTTTGTCAGCCTCCGACATTGAAATGGATTCTCCTTCAAGTTGCACTGGGGAGTCTGCTCTGTTCCTTACCTCCTCTAGTGTCTTAGTTCATATTGCAGGGCTACTCAACTTTGGAAACCCCGGGAGTTACAAAAATACTCACAGGACATGTTGAGGGTCGCAACTTAAGTGGGGTTGCATATACATGCAAAAATATTCAAATAGCTTCTTTTACACTAACGGGCATGAATACAAAGATTAAGGCAAAACTACACAACACGCAGGCCCCGTTTCAGTCAGTTCTGCTGATATTAATAAAATGCAATATTTACCCGATTTACACCCCTATGACAGCACATTTAATGAGCAATGACAGTCCAGGAAGTTAACTATTAAAACGTATATCAACAGAAGACCGTTATATTGACTACTTTTTGTTTTGGCTTCTTCCTGCAGTCCGTGCATTGATCCCCATGTAAACCCAAACTGCACACGGGCTGCAAATCAATGGGCCGCAGGCTGCATGCTTTCTGTAGAAAAACTACTTCCTTGGAAAGTTAACTTTCAGTTGACAAGATGGTGACTGGTCAATTTAAAAAAAAAAAAAAGTAACTAATTCTACCAGTCTTCACAGGCAACTTATCCTATGCCAAAAAATATAAAAGTCCAGACTGGGGAAAGCATCTGGATAGACAGATTGTCCCAGAGAAAGGGATTTGACCTGGAAAAGGGGACAAGCAACCTCGATCTGTAGTGTGATAAAAGAAAATTTCTGTAAGCTTCTGTTTCAATGATATCTCAGACCATACACTTAAAAATACAGGCATGACTAGAAGACTTACCCATTGTTGCCTGTGTCTGGGGCCAGCGCCAGGTGGCAGTGGTCACGCTGCCTGCCAGCTTCTCCTCGGGGTGGCGGGGACTGCCACATTGGCTTCTCCCTGTGGGCCAGACTGGGGAGGGGGGCAGTTGCTTCTCAGGGACAGGCGGGGACTACAGGACTACAGCTCCCTGGGGCTGGGGTGCTTGCGGCCCCCCTGTGGTCATTCATGAACCCCGCTCGCCAGCCGTGTAGTTTGGCACCCTGCGCATGCGCTTACCGCACTGTGCGGCTGTGCCAGCTTGTAATCTACTTGCCACGGACACTAATTGTCAAGCCCTGTTCATGAGTATAACTGTCCCCACTACCACACGCCTCCCTTTCCATTTACTGAGAAACAATCCCATTCCAGGCACATCCATTGTCTTGGCACAACCAACCCCTGACCTTGCTTTAAGTTATAAGAGGAAGCTGCATAGCAAATTTGGTGGTTCTAACTCTTACTGTTTAGGAATTATTGCTCAAGTGGACTCACATACGGATGAAAGGACAGACAGACGCACAAATTATTTAAAATATATTGAACTGGGATAAAAGTGGGAGAAACTGTGAGAGAGGAGATTCTATACATATATGGTGGACATGTCCAGCTAGAGTATTGGGATGACTTGAAACCAAATATCACAAATGGTTGGGTATTTTATTATCAAATGGCTCGGGACTAAGGAAATAAGAATCACTTTTTCATCTGCTGGGAGCTGCTTGGCCTCTCACAGAAAAAAAAAAGTCCCTCTGTAGAGGAACGGTGAAAAAAATGGGAGGTGGTTATGGAAAAATTAATGAACCAATTACATATCCTTAGCAAAAAAAAAATCACACGTGTCCAACTTCTTTGAATATTTGCATTTGTTAGGCATGCCTGATTTGTTAAATATGTGTGATCAGAGATTTCATTCAATTTTAATAAAATGTGTAGAAGCATATGTTGTGGGTCGTGTGAAGATGCTCACTCTACTATGTTTGGATAGAGAGAGACCTGATGATTACATTCGCATATGTCTGTCTGAATTGAAGCTCAGAGTTGTAGTAATGATGGTTGTTTGGGCCAATATTTAAAGGCTAAGGGTTTGTTAAGCTGTTAAAACTCCCTAAATCAATAGTTTTCCAAAAAGTGAGTAGCTTAGCACCAGTTAGCACAGAACAGAAATTATACCTGGGTCTGCAGAACGGATTTTGTCTTCACATCATGTCTGTCTAAGGCTGGCGGAGTGAAACCGTGGACATGCTACCTGTTGAATTCTCTCAAGAGGCAGGGTATTCAAGGAAAATACACCTTCCTTTCCATTGCCATGGTATGTAGTGCTTCTGGGCAGGACAGAGGGGAGCATCGAAACTCCTCACACCCAGAAATCTGATCTACATGGTCTGTAGCTGAATAGATTTTACATAAGCAGGGATGGGATGAGCTGAGCTGTGTTGCATATCTCCGTGCAGGCTGTATTGCTCCATGAAGACAGAATAAAACAGGGGTGGATTTACAATGAAACATACTGTACCCTAGCACAGGGCCCCCCCAATGACATGGGTCCCACAGGTTGAGCAGTCCAGCACTGGGTCTGGCAACCCCCCACTCCTGCGCTAAGGATGTTTGCTTATTGGATAGTTTTTTGTCTAGTTGACTAGTCTGGGGCTCTTGTACATTTCAAAGGAGGAATACGGAACTTCTCACACAGCCTGGGGCCAGCGGGAAGTCCTGCTGACTCAGGGCTGCATTTGGGTGCCTTCTTTGAAATGCACAAGAGTGCCCAGCAGGAGCTCTTGTGCATTTCAAAGCCATGGAGCCCAGGGTCAGTGGGGGACTCCCCAGTTGATCCCAGGGTTCCTGAGGCATTTCCCGGGAAGCTTGGGGTCAGCTAGGTAGTCCTCAGCTGACCCCAGGCTCCCCGCAGCTGCTCCTTTGAATCGCGTGGATGCGTGGCTTAAAAAGACAGCCGCCAAACAGCTGATCCTGCAGATTCAAAGGCGCCCGATTCAAAGGAGCAAATAGCATGTTAGGACGTGGAAGTGCAAAAATGACATTTCTAGGGAACTTCAGATGCTAAGATGTTGCCTTTATGCAACCTGGGCTGGGGCAACTGCTATAAGTCTTTCTAAAACTAGACATACAGTATCTGAAAGCAAGTCCCCCAAGTCCAGGAGGTGAATGTTAAAATCATTGGTAAGAAATCTCAGAGGGGTAACCATGTTAGTCTGTAACTTTAAAAGAGAGTGGTCCCGTGGCACCTTAGAGACAGGGCTGGCCTTACCACAAGGCGAACTGAGGTGGTGGCCTCAGGTGCCAGACTGTGGGGTGGGGGCGCCACTAGGACCCATAGTGTAGAAAATTGTGTCTGCTGCTGGTGCATATGTAGGTAGCAGAGCAGTACCATGAGAGGAGTAGAACAGGAAGAAGGCAGAATTGAGACCTTTCAAAGTTTTGGCCCAAGCGAGGGGACGTGGGGGCATCATTTGAGCTCCCCGCCTCAGGTGCCAAAATGTTGTGGGCCAGCCCTGGGCACCTACATGCAGCCCGGAGTCAATGGGAATTCCCGATGGCCTCGGGCTGTACGCCAGTGGGGGCTTTTATACATTTCAGAGGAAGAATGCAGAAGTGCCTATCGACTAGTCGATGGAAATTTAGTTGACTAGTCAATTAACTGCATTTTAACATCCTTATCCCGCTCAGGGTGGCCCCACTGCGTGGGCAGTCCCTCTGCAGAAAGGGCAGTGGGGGGGAGCAGGAGAGCAGAGAGGAACATTTGACAAGTTCAACAATACTGACCATTGAAAGTGCCTCTTTACAAAATATTAGTTACCATGACTTAATTGACAATTTCGTAAAAAAAAAAAAGTGCAGAAAGAAGAAAAAAAAAACCAGCAAGATTTAAGATTAAATAAGTTTCTTCAGAGGAAGTTAGCTTTTATTTTTTCCATTCATGCATCATCTATGCATTTTATTTTTACACATTTTTCATGTTGGCTTAATGCAAATATAAGCTCTTGTCTAGACCAGAAGTTCTCAAACTGTGCTTCGAGAACTCCATTCAGGTGGACTGAGGAAAGGTTATTATGGGTTTTTTTTATAAAATGTTCTTATCCAAAGCACTTTTCAATGGCAGCTAATGATGCAAACAGTATTGGAAAGATCATTCAGTGGTCCACCAAGACCCTCAGCAATTTTCAAATGATCTGTGAAAAAAAGTTAGACTACAAAACCAATCAAGGTACCTCACTTTAATTTCATTTACTTCTTATTACTTATTATATAGGAGGATGAAGAAAAAAGAATGAAAAATAGGAGAGGCAGGAAGAGTGAATGTTCGTTTTCTTGGCTGGGTCCAGGCGGGCCCCAAAAATGAAGCTGAGCACACGGCCCCACTAACTCTGGAGCTACGTCTACACTGCCGGCTTTTGCTGGCCAAGAATATGCAAATTAAGTGCTGATTAGCATTTTCACACTTCATTTGCATAATCTATTTGAGCCATTTTTGTGCAAGGGCTTTTTGCGTAAAAACAAGCAGTGTAGACATTTCTTTTTTGCGCAAACCCCCCTTTTTGCGCAAAAAAGAAATGTCTACACTGCTTGTTTTTACGCAAAAAGCCCTTGCACAAAAATGGCTCAAATAGATTATGCAAATGAAGTGTGAAAATGCTAATCGGTGCTTTATTTGCATACTCTCTGCCGGCAAAAGCTGGCAGTGTAGACCAAACCTAAATCTGCCACTGGAATAAAAGAATATATCCCTGAACGATTCTAAAGCACCCTCACCCGAGTGAGTAGGCATAATTCTCTTTGTTGAGAATATGCAAGTTGAAACCCAGTCTAAACAAATGTGGTTCTTGGAGTCTCTGAACTTAACAATTCTTGGCAACTTTTATTTGAACACACATGGGATGTTGTGGGTTTTGGTACCTTTTTGAGAGCACAGAGCACATGAGTTTTAAAGAGTATAGATTCTGTAGCATTCTGTAGCTATGGGTTACGGACAGTTTTCCCCTCAAATTTTAAAGATACTTTCACAAGAAATAATTTTAAACATTATATTGCAAAAGATCAAAAACACTTGTTTCCCCAGATTGTAGTGAAATTTGCACAAAGTCCCTGACCACTAGTAGGCAACCCCTTGTCTTAAGTGGACTCTGCATAATCACCGTGGTTTTTAGCAGCGTTGTGGTAACTGTTTACAAGACTGCCTTGGTGGTAGGCAGTAAACTGTTAAGACAGTTTGGTGGCTACTTACAAGAGGTTTCACTTTTTGTATAAACAAAGTTGGAAGCTAGAGAGAGGATTCTTAGCTCTAGCCAGAAGCCATGTGCCTGTTGTCACCTGTGAGTGTATTTGTCTCAAATGAGAACTGGGTTATCCCTTGAAGATTAAGAAAATGTTAATCTTGTATGTCAAGCTTTTAGGGGCAAGGGTCTTACTGTGTAAAGCATAGGGCACGATTACAGGGCTCCGTAGTGGGATTGTAAGTGCAGTGTAAGAGGCTGTGTCCATTTCCAATTCCAGTAAGTCTGCCCGGAATAGTTTAAGACAAGAGGAATGTGTTGGTCATTGTCTTGCTTATCTGAGGTCTTAACCTTGGACAGAAGGTGCATGTTCTGGGATTCAAGAACAGAGTTCTCCAACGCTGCTAGTTTTCAGGTCCTTGCCTCCGGGATGGGCTAATCATGATGTATACAGTTAAGTCGAGCACAGACTGATGGACTGGCTTTTCTGCACCATTCTGCAGTACACCCCAGTTATAGATCTGATCAAAGATTGCTGGTGGGAACTAGATCAAGACCATCAGATTAGTTTTCTCAACTTGATAGAATCCAGATGTCTAGAGACAAAATGCACTTGCAGGTTCTTAAGGCTGCCTTACTTCCCAAATTCAAAGAGGAATGTAGAGAACTCGCTGTATCTGACACTGAATTGCTGTGTCGGGTTATAGGACTGTCACAGTGGTAGCAAAACAGAAAGTCTTTAACTGTGCAAGTCTTTTGGCCCAGTGAAACTTTTCTGGCCGTTTTTTCCTTGCATCTCTTATACTGTTTTGCTTTCCTGCAGTCCACCTGGAAGGATTTTATGGTGGCAGAATATTTGACTGCAGAGATGTGACATTTGTTGTTGGAGAAGGAGAAGATCATGACATTCCAATTGGAATTGACAAAGCTCTAGAGAAAATGCAGAGAGAAGAACACTGTATCTTGTACCTTGGACCACGGTGAGAAACTCTTTGCTCTGGGGGAGCATCTCTCTGAACATCTTGCAGACAACTTCAGTAGCAGGCTGTTACTGAAAATGAAATGTTACAGAGGATCTTTCCTGCAAATTCCCACTCCTAGGATCTCTTAGGAGCCACTCAGACCTACAAACTTTCTGGGAAGTTTGACAAGAACATTGTTGTATCTGTGCAAAAAACTGGTGGCTTAGCTATCTGTTGAATATATAATTGCATCTAATTTGGCTTTCTGCATAGTATTCATAAAATCTGTCACAAACACAGTTAACAAGGAGAACTGGGTTGTGAGCGAGTGCTCTTGTTCAGATATTTGTATCTGAATTATTGAAAGAAATGAATCCATCGCTATCAAAGCAATCCACTGCTTGGTTTGGTACAGCCATGCACATGTTACGCAGACCTAAGTCACGTGTAGTGGATGGGAATATCCACAGGCCTCCAAAGCATCCTGTTCTCTAGCATATTTTCATTTTGTTCCTATGGAATAAAATCGTCCTATCCCGACATGTTTAAACATTGAGTGAGGGTTGGAATGGGCTCTAGGCCAAAATACCAAACTCTGGTGTGTAGGGTCAGTTGCATTGTGTGTGTTAGGGGCTTAACGTTAGCCTGCTTTCTGGGGCACAATTAAAAAAGCACTGCCTTTGAAGGGTGATATTGAAAAAAAATGGAAACACATTTCATAGCAGAGCTGCAGAGCTTGTGGGATTAATAATTCCTGAGAGTATGGGTGATGCATCCCATCCGAATGCCAGGGGAATAGTGTTGAATCCAGTCCCATTTCTAAAAAAAACAATGCCACCGATGAGAAACTTGGCATAGTCTCCTACACATCTGGCTTGTCTCTAGGGTCTGGTGTGTAGCTCTCCACTTGTAGCTCTGTGCATGTGTGAATATTCAGACTATTGAATAGAAGTGCCTGATCGCACACCCTTTCCTCTGATGCTTTATTTTTATGCTGTGTTTCAGATATGGGTTTGGCGAGTCAGGGAAGCCTAAATTTGGCATCGAGGCAAATGCTGAGCTTGTGTATGAAGTTACACTTAAAAGCTTTGAAAAGGTGAGAATAGAATTTCTCTCAGCAGACACACACACTTTCAAGGACTACAGGAAGCCGTTCTGCATTGAAAGCATTTAACACTTCGTCTTTGGTGGGGCTGTAACGCAGCCCGGGTAAAGCAGATACGTCAAGAAAGATCTCAGTGTTCTTATTTTGTTCTCTTATGTTGATTTGTTTTATGTTTTTGGATGCGGTTCAAGACTTGTTCCTTTATTTGTTCCTAGGCCTGTTCCCTTTGTACTTTTTTTTTTCCTGGGCTGCAGACAAAAAGTTCATGTCCTGCCAAACTACTTTGAAAGGAGGGCAGGGCTGTGCTGCTGAACAAGCTGTGCCCTCTTCGGGAGGCTGGAAAACCCGCCCGTGTTTGTACAGTGCTGTTGAAGAACTAGATGTACATGGGGCGGAGCAGATGCTGCCAGGCTGTGTCCTGGGGCATGTTTGTTGGAGGAAGGAATCTGTGCCTGGCTTCCCTCATTTCTTAATAGGCAGGAGGACAGAATTTCTCTTCTCCCTGTGGAGATACTTCACCCACCCCTCTGATGCGGTCTGGTGTATGTCTTGAATGGCATTTTGGAGCACATGGGGTTCCAAAGGACCAGTCCTCTGAAACCCTAACCCTCTCTGCCCACTTGCCATGAAGGATTCGAGTCTCAGGTTACGGCAGCGACTGCTTGTTTTGACTTGCTTGCCCCTGTAATTCCTGAAGCTGAATGTGTCTAATGGACAGATCAAGGGTTGATTGATTACAGATTAGTTGCTCTGGTAAGCCACTCCTCCCCACTGCCTTCAGTGGCTTCCTCATGGTACCAGAGAACAAACGCCTTCGGATAACAAGAGAGCATTGGCAAGGCATAGAGTTGATAATTGTGGTGTGGCTTGAAACCAGCATGGCTTGAAATCTGGGTGGCTAGAAGTCAGTTTCTGTTGTTGGGATAAGGAGAGGCCAGGTGAGGTGAGACCTTTTATTTTATTCTGATGGTAAAAGACAAGTTTTCAAGCTACACAGCGATCTTCAGGTCACCTATGTAGATCGAAAGCTTGTCTCTTTCATCACCAGAAGCTGGTCCAATAAAAGCTATGACCTCACCCACCTTGGCTGTCTAATATCCTGAGACCAATACGGCGACAACAACGTGACAAACAGGTTGGGATAAGGAGCCGTCCTAGAAGTCAGGAACGCCAGCTGATATTGTTTTCTGTCTCCTCTTCTAACAATTGTTATAAATGTTTGCACGCAGGCCAAAGAATCCTGGGAGATGGACACCAAAGAGAAACTTGAGCAGGCTGCCATTGTCAAAGAGAAAGGGACAGTGTATTTCAAGGTTTGTAAAGACTTAGTAGAAACTGGGTCGCCAAGAAATGGAACTGGGCTTCCAGTCTAACATTGTCTTAAATTGCTGGTGGACCCATCAGAGAAACAATCGAAGGGCTTGTCATTGCGGGAAGTTCATGCTTAGCAAGCTGGGGTTTGACTTGAGAGCGCACAAACTACTGTGTGCTGAATCCCATCCGGATACTCTCGGAGCTCATGGAAGGCACCGTTGTGCACTTGAGCTTCATGTGCTTTCAAGTGAACAAACTAAACTGGCCATGGGAACAGTGTTCACTTGGGGAATAAATGCGAGGTAGCTGACGTGCTGGAAATTCACACTTGAGCTTGCTGCTCTCTAAGGCTATGTCTGCACAGCAGCGTTATTTTGGAATAATGCCAGTTATTCCGAAATAACAAGGAGCACATCCACACAGCAAGCCATTATTTTGAAATAAGATCGAGCTAGAGAACTTATGAGGAGTAAGGGAAGTCGGAGGAAGAGTGTTCTTCCTCAGACGTCCTGCTGTGTAGACAGCACCAAAAGCCAAATTAAGCTAGTTCGACTTCAGCTCCATAATTGACATAGCTGAAGCTGCATAGCTTAATTTGACTTTTGCCCTGCTGTGTAGACGAGCTCTAGAACATCTCTGCCCAGGCATAAAGTGTCACAGTTTGTCCCTCCCAAACCATTTTAGCCCCAGCAAGGCAAATATTGCCCCTTTCCTACCTTCTCTTCTCTTCAAGTGACCAATATGGTCTGTTGCAAACTTCACCTGCCAAGCTTGGAGTAGCACAGAAGCCTGAGGAAGGAGCTGCAAGGTAGGACGGCAGTTTGGCATTCGACTGTTCTTGCCTGATATGTTGTTCTTGCTGAATAAGGAGGTACCGCTAAGAAAAGGCCTCTTCATTTAACACTGCTGTCGCCTTTCTGGGCACTGTGTGGAATAGCCTTATGACTTCCAAACTTTGTATAGATAATGCTAATTTAAACAGTGCAGATTTAATCTGTGGAACTCATTGCCACAAGATATTAAGGTGAAGAGTTTACCAAGATTCCAAAAAGGATTAGACATTTATATGGCTAGTGAGACGATCCACAGTTACATTATGCCACATACAACATTAGGGAATATAAGCTCAATGCTGAGAAGAATTACCAAGAAAATTCCTATATAGGTTAGTTGTTCCAAGCTGTCCACGGGGTTTCTCACCCCGTGCTTTGAAGCATCTGGTACTGGCCACTGTGTCATACACGATATTGGCTTTATCTGATATGACCATTCCAGTAGCTCCTAATAATAGTAGAGAGCATGATTGAAAGGAAGATACATCCTGTACACTTTGTAAATAAAACAAAATTAGTCGAATTCAGGGACACAACAAAATACCACTAACCTTGAAAATCAGATGGCTTCCATCAAGGTGACGGGGTTTGAGGAGGATGTTTTAGTCTCCAGACTTTGCTCTGTCAGCAGATAACAATATCTTTTATCTGTACAGTTACAATGATTGGTTACTTGTCATGTTGTTTAAATGCAGCTGGCTGTTTTGATGGATTTGTATTTGAGTTAATGAAGCTATTCATATCCTTGCCTTTCAGCCTTCCACTTTCAGCTTCGAAGCTTTGCTTAATTTCTGAAACGGGATGAATGCCATTGGTCCTTCTCCCCCCATATTACAGCGTGTTTCTGAAAAAGCAGTTTTCTGTTCAGTGTGGCATCCGTCTCTCATCAGAACTATGGGACGCCCGACTTTTGGGCTCCCTGGAAACTGCCTGTTGTATTCTAGTTTTGCCTACCCAGCAGGGAAAGGGCATAATTTTTTTCTACTCCCACAGTGGGCATCCTATCAGGTGGTGTTGACTTGCAAGCATCCTGTCTGCCATCCTAGCTTCAAGGGGAGTGTCTCCTTGGAACCCTGAAAAGAGCTGGCCGTTGAAAGGGAAGGACAGGAGAGAAGCACTGCCTCCCATTTGGACCAGGCTAATGCTGAGTTCATTTCCTCAGGCAGGTGAAAGCCTAGGACGGAGGGGTGTGTGGGCGTTTCTCCTCGCACTCATGGAGCGGGGAGTAGAAAACAGGGCCTGACTTTGCAGAGGTGCTGAGCACTGCAGCTCCCGTTAATCTCCGCGGGAGGAGTGGGTGCACCGCTCCTCTGAAAATCAACCCCCTTGTTTTTAATTTTAAAAGACTGAAGGTTGTTTGGATTGTTAAACTTTCTGAAAAACTGTTCCAGAAGCACAGCCGCTTCAGTGTGCCATATGACAGTCCTTTAGCCTTGTTTTCGCTTCATTCCAGGAAGGCAAGTACATGCAGGCAGTGATTCAGTATGGCAAGATTGTGTCCTGGTTAGAAATGGAGTACGGCTTATCAGAAAGGGAATCTAAAGAAGCTGAATTCTTCTTGCTGGCAGCCTTCCTCAACCTGGCCATGTGCTACCTTAAGCTGCGGGAATACATCAAAGCTGTTGAATGCTGCGATAAGGTACAGGTGCACCTGAACGCGTGGCTAAAATAGGCGATTTTCCTGTCCGTTACCTTTCCTCTTCCCTTGCACTGAATTACTTTCCATTCTAGAGGAAACTTCAAAACTCCAATGTCAATTTAATCAGGAGGGTTTAACACTAAAACTGAATGTTCTTTTTTTGGAGGGGGGGGTAAAGAAATAGCATATTTTTAGAAACATATGCGCAATGTGGTCTTGGACACATCACAACTCGAACAAAATTAAAAGATGTCTTGAACAAAATTAGCAGATATCAAACGAGAATCTTCTCAATTACAAAATAAAGAGCAGAAATGGCTTTGCAAATATTCAGAAACTGATTAATGTTTAATTAGTAAACAACCTCAGCCCAAATAACTGCACTTTGTATCTCTCTTATTTATAATGTGCCAGCCTTCGCGTATGTAGGACGTGCAGACTATCTTCGTAATTAGGAAAAAAAGCAATTGAAACATGCTGTGGACTTGCAGTATTAATAACTTTATAGATTAATGTATATATACTTCAAAATTCCAGTGCTAGGACTAAATAAAATTACTCTTGTGTGTATTCTGCTCTTGAAACAGTATTCTGCAACTCGTCATTTGACAGTGAAAGTTGAACATGTCACAGAAGAGTTACTGTAATCTCTCCCATCATTCTATTCATCAGCCTATTCATACCAAAGTGCCTATATCTCTGGAAGGGTGCAAAGTAGAGCCGAACAAATCTTCATTGCTGAGCCTGGCTCTGTCTAGCAATGTTGTTACAGATGATTGAACGGAAGCTCTTACTGGAGCTGTTACACTGAACATACTTTTCATTGAAACCAATCGGTTAAGTTTCAACATATGAACCAGGTCAATTTCAAACATTTGATTATTTCTCTTACTTAACCACAAACACTTTTAAAAATTACTTAAAAGTAAATTCCTGCGTTCTCTAAAAGTGGTGGGTGATTGCTTGTTTTCTGTTGCACATCTTGTTAACCCTAGTGAGGAAATTATGTGCACTGATCACGGGGCAGTTTGGTCCCAAAGATGTTAAAGACATTGTTTCATTAATTGTCATGCTGGTATAATTTTATTTTGAACAGTGTCTTGCATGTAAACTCTGTTAAAATAAAGTGCTTCACAGAATTAGTTCAAGATATGATTAATCCAAAGTAATCACGTGGTAGAGATGGTTTGGGTGAGTAAAGGCATTTCAGATGGTGGTGGTGGTTCCCCCCAGTCTTCAAGGGTTCAAATTTTAGCCTTTTGGTCTTTTAAAAAAGTGTCTGTCTGTCTGTTAGGGCCAGATCCTGTATCTGGATCCATGTGGCTAGACCATATGCTACAGTGGGGTTCTGACCACACGCTTGGCTAATCTGAATCTAGCCCGTAAGTCAAGTGGTGGGCAGCTTGCGGCCCGAGGGTCACATGCGGCCTATTGGGATTTGATGTGCAGCCCACGAGACATGTTGTGTATTGTTGCCTACTTGCAGGGTTGACAGACAGAAGGAGGGCCCACTCACTAGCCTAGGTTGCCCATTGATGCGCTAAGTGCTGACCTTGGCATCCATGACATTCTGTTGGGTTGTCAGCCTTGTAGCAGACATGTAAGCATTTTGGGCAAGTACAGCCATAAAGGAGTTTGTGTAAACTAGACTGTTGCAAGGTTTGTCTTGTGCTCTTGCAAGTCAAAATATGAAACTTTGGTGATTAGGTCTTTTGCAAACTTGATCTGTAGCATAAGTTAGTCATTTTAACTAGGGAAAAAAGTTTTAAAAAAGTTGAAACCTTGAAATATCAGCTTCTGCACATAATCATGAGTCATGTTACATTTGTGCAACAAAGCCTTTTTCTAAATGAGTCTAATGTTCTTTCCATGAACTAATAATGCATGTACTCACACTAACCAGCGGGCCAAATTCTACATTGGGGGAAGCACAGATTTGGGTGTATAATGTATAATAATACTCAAGATCAGAATCTTGCCACAGTATGAAAAAACAAAGTTTAAGGATTAAACTTTAATTAGTGGGTTCCAAGAGCATCACTTTAACATTGTCCATATGTGCCCCTTTGGGCTTGGGTTTAGAGGTTTTGTACTTAACTATGAATTCTTGCATTTGTGAGTTTGTCTCCTAGGCTACGTCTAGACTGCAAGCCTCTTTTGGAAGAGGCTTCTTCTAAAGTATCTTTTGAAAAAGAGCATCTAGACTACAACCAGTACTTTCAAAAAAGCAGAGTTTGTATTACATAGCGCCTTTTTTCAAAAGAGCACTTTCGAAAAAAGGCATTCTTCCTCGTAAAATGAGGTTTTCCTCAGTCAAAAAAAACCTGCCACGTTCTTTCGATTTACTTTCAAAAGAACGTGGCAGCAGTCTAGGCACAGGTAAAGATTTTTCCAAAAAAAGCCACTTTTTTTTGAAAAATCCCTGTAGTCTAGACACACCCTTACTGACTGTATTACTTTGGGTGGGAGGTGCGAGTACAATATTACTCAGTTGCAGTATATGTATATAGATTTTCAACCAGTACTGGAGGTCAATACCATTTTGGGTAGGGGCAAGTTAGGAGCACTGTAGAGATTTCAAGCCTTTCCTGCCATCCCAATTTCATGTTGATGCTTTAAAAGGTGCAATGCCTCTAAAGGAGACACACATTCACGTTAGCAGAGCATTAGGAACCAGCAATGTTTAGGACTTCACAATAAGCAGGCTCAGATGACTGCATGAACTCTGTGCTCTGGGGCTCTCTCTCAGAAATGACTCATTCTTAAGGTTTTGAGTTATGGGGGAAATGCTTATCCCTTTCATCTGTTCTGAGACAGAGTAACTTCAGCAAATTCAGTGGCATTACCCTAGTGTGAGATCAGAATCAAGCACTCCATCTTACCAAGGAGTAGCATCTGTTGTGTAACCAGGCTTTTTGTTGTGCCATCTAACAGATGGCCAAGGAATGGAATTGTTCTGTGTGCCTTTTGCTGGCATGCTGTTCTGCACAAAAACCTGGGGACACCTGCGGCCATGTACATGTTTTATAAATCGTGCCTGCGTGCACACTTGCTAACATTATTCCCTCCAGCAAAGTTCTTGCTTGTGTTAACAGGAGTACGGTGAAGAAAAACGCCAGGGTAACTAATGCTGAACGTTGTCTTATGCTTTGCTAATGTAGAAATGTGTGTTCACAGGCACTGGGATTGGATCAAGTCAGCGAGAAGGGTTTTTATAGAAGGGGTGAAGCCAGATTACTAATGAATGAATTTGAATTGGCGAAAGGTGACTTTCAAAAAGTACTGGAAGTAAATCCGCAGAACAAAGCTGCTAAGTCACAGATCACCGTCTGCCAGAAGAAGCTGAAGGAGCACAATGAACGTGACCGGAGGATATATGCCAACATGTTCAAGAAGTTTGCAGAGAGAGACGCAAAGGTTTGCCTTGAGTTGACATGTGGAGCACATCTCTTAGGACTTGATAGCTGGCTTAAGGGAAATGGACTTTTGTGATGCAGAAAGGGATCATATTGCCAGAACCATTCTGGCAGGCAGAGCATGAAGGGGGTGTGACCCATTTCCAGCAGGGACCAACTCAATGGAAAAAGAGTCTGTATATGTCTCTGTGGTCCATTCTTGGTGTCTCTTTATAGCTAAGGCTGATATCACAGGTATTGGTTCTTAAGGACATGGCCATCCCTATGGGGGGAGGTGTGGGGTCTAGGACAACCTCCATTACACCACACGCCCTGCCCCCACCTGGCCTTTTCCTGCCCTGCCCCCAAAACCTCCTCTCCTAAATAATGCCAGGAGCTGGCAAGGCAATGGGGCTGGGGATGCTGCCCAGGCCCCACTTCCCCCTTAGCCAAGAGGAATGGAATTAGTGTATCTGCATCTAGCCCAGCGTCCTGTCTGCCGACAGTGGCCAATGCCAGGTGCCCCAGAGGGAATGAACAGAAGAGGTCCAAGTGATCCCTCCCTTGTGACTTCAGACAGAGGCTACAGCAGGCCTAGGCAAAAGACCCTCCGTGGGCTGGATCTGGCCTGCCAAGCCACCGGATCCAGCCTGTGGAGGCAGCAGGGGGCCACCGGCAGACTCCCCTGCTTGCTCCGTCCCTGCACGCCGCTCAGAAAAGCGGCTACCTGGCTGTTTGTGTTTCTCAAACTGTGGGCATGGGGGAGGAGGGATTAGAGCCTCACTCCTATCCCCAGCACAATCCCATTGGCTGGTTTCTGGCCAATGGAAGCTACCTGTTTCAAGAACAGGCAGCGTGTGAAGCACCAATTCCCCCTCCTCTCGGGCTCTCATTCACGGAGCACGTGGCCATGCAGCCTGTGCGGGGGCGGGAAGGCTCCTGCCTGAGAAATGTGTTGGGCTGCTGGCCAGGATTCTCACTGGTAAGCCTTCCAGCCAGAGCCTGCCTCCCTCCCCCTTACCGTGTGCCCTCTCCCCGCTTCTACCCTCCGACCCCATATGACCCAAGCCTCTGTTCCCCTCCTGAGCCCATATCCCCTTCCAGACCCTGCGCCACAATCCCCTCCTATCCTAGGTCACAAGACAAACTTCTGCACCCCCAATCCTCTCCCCTAGGTCACAACCCAAGCCCCTACACCTGAGTCCTGTGCCCCAGGTCACAAGTACTTCCTTCATCCAAACTCTCTCCCATACCTTACAGGCCCTCCTGCACCCCAATCCCTTACTCCAAGCTCCCATCTGCACCCAACCTCCATCCCAGACCCCGAACCTTCTCCATTAATATCATGGAAAAGTGTGGCTCTCGACCACTTTCCACAATTTCACATGTAGGTGAATGTCATTGTGACAGGGTGAGGTCACAGAAGACCCTGAAGTTCTGACAAAGCCGCTTGCCTCTCTGGGGCTTTTCACCACCATGTCCTGCTGGGCCAGCTCATCTGGTTCGTTTCTACCCAAGGCGCAGAGCTGAGATCAGTTCCCGCCTCCCTCTCCCCCAAGGAGCAATATAGACACTAAAACTCTTTGGGTCTGAGGAAAATGCAGATTTGGGCCCAGCTTCGTGGGATGCCACTCCCCAGATGGAATCAAACCCCGACAAATTATTTAATGAATTGACAATGAAAGGTGGAATGTACACACTGATTGCTCCCCCAGGTAACAATTATTTACACTGCGTTTGATAGTAAATAGATTACCAACTTAAAATAACAGAAAATGCTTAGCTAATTCTGAAACTAAAACCTCAGTACAAACTTATTACAAACTCACCCTCAAGCTGTCCTTGTTCCAGCTAAGCTTTCAAACCAGGGAAGTCCCCACTCCCTGAGGTCTCTGGTTCATCCTCTTGGGTGTGCCACACCAGCCAAAGACAAAGAAACTGCCTGCTTCCTATTGTTTTCTAGATTCCACTTTGGGCGGGAATTCTGTTTCTACATTCCACCCTTCCATGGGAAGTTACCTGGCCAGCCCCTACCCTCCCTAACATCCTCAGCTGTGAAAACCAATGCAAATAATTCATTTAGTTTTTCTGCAAAGATCTTACCATCTTTGAGTGCTCCTTTGGCATCTCAATCGTTCAGGAACCCCACTGCGCCAAGGAATGGAATTGTTCTGTGTGCCTTTTGCTGGCATGCTGTTCTGCACAAAAACCTGGGGACACCTGCGGCCATGTACATGTTTTATAAATCGTGCCTGCGTGCACACTTGCTAACATTATTCCCTCCAGCAAAGTTCTTGCTTGTGTTAACAGGAGTACGGTGAAGAAAAACGCCAGGGTAACTAATGCTGAACGTTGTCTTATGCTTTGCTAATGTAGAAATGTGTGTTCACAGGCACTGGGATTGGATCAAGTCAGCGAGAAGGGTTTTTATAGAAGGGGTGAAGCCAGATTACTAATGAATGAATTTGAATTGGCGAAAGGTGACTTTCAAAAAGTACTGGAAGTAAATCCGCAGAACAAAGCTGCTAAGTCACAGATCACCGTCTGCCAGAAGAAGCTGAAGGAGCACAATGAACGTGACCGGAGGATATATGCCAACATGTTCAAGAAGTTTGCAGAGAGAGACGCAAAGGTTTGCCTTGAGTTGACATGTGGAGCACATCTCTTAGGACTTGATAGCTGGCTTAAGGGAAATGGACTTTTGTGATGCAGAAAGGGATCATATTGCCAGAACCATTCTGGCAGGCAGAGCATGAAGGGGGTGTGACCCATTTCCAGCAGGGACCAACTCAATGGAAAAAGAGTCTGTATATGTCTCTGTGGTCCATTCTTGGTGTCTCTTTATAGCTAAGGCTGATATCACAGGTATTGGTTCTTAAGGACATGGCCATGCCTATGGGGGGAGGTGTGGGGTCTAGGACAACCTCCATTACACCACACGCCCTGCCCCCACCTGGCCTTTTCCTGCCCTGCCCCCAAAACCTCCTCTCCTAAATAATGCCAGGAGCTGGCAAGGCAATGGGGCTGGGGATGCTGCCCAGGCCCCACTTCCCCCTTAGCCAAGAGGAATGGAATTAGTGTATCTGCATCTAGCCCAGCGTCCTGTCTGCCGACAGTGGCCAATGCCAGGTGCCCCAGAGGGAATGAACAGAAGAGGTCCAAGTGATCCCTCCCTTGTGACTTCAGACAGAGGCTACAGCAGGCCTAGGCAAAAGACCCTCCGTGGGCTGGATCTGGCCTGCCAAGCCACCGGATCCAGCCTGTGGAGGCAGCAGGGGGCCACCGGCAGACTCCCCTGCTTGCTCCGTCCCTGCACGCCGCTCAGAAAAGCGGCTACCTGGCTGTTTGTGTTTCTCAAACTGTGGGCATGGGGGAGGAGGGATTAGAGCCTCACTCCTATCCCCAGCACAATCCCATTGGCTGGTTTCTGGCCAATGGAAGCTACCTGTTTCAAGAACAGGCAGCGTGTGAAGCACCAATTCCCCCTCCTCTCGGGCTCTCATTCACGGAGCACGTGGCCATGCAGCCTGTGCGGGGGCGGGAAGGCTCCTGCCTGAGAAATGTGTTGGGCTGCTGGCCAGGATTCTCACTGGTAAGCCTTCCAGCCAGAGCCTGCCTCCCTCCCCCTTACCGTGTGCCCTCTCCCCGCTTCTACCCTCCGACCCCATATGACCCAAGCCTCTGTTCCCCTCCTGAGCCCATATCCCCTTCCAGACCCTGCGCCACAATCCCCTCCTATCCTAGGTCACAAGACAAACTTCTGCACCCCCAATCCTCTCCCCTAGGTCACAACCCAAGCCCCTACACCTGAGTCCTGTGCCCCAGGTCACAAGTACTTCCTTCATCCAAACTCTCTCCCATACCTTACAGGCCCTCCTGCACCCCAATCCCTTACTCCAAGCTCCCATCTGCACCCAACCTCCATCCCAGACCCCGAACCTTCTCCATTAATATCATGGAAAAGTGTGGCTCTCGACCACTTTCCACAATTTCACATGTAGGTGAATGTCATTGTGACAGGGTGAGGTCACAGAAGACCCTGAAGTTCTGACAAAGCCGCTTGCCTCTCTGGGGCTTTTCACCACCATGTCCTGCTGGGCCAGCTCATCTGGTTCGTTTCTACCCAAGGCGCAGAGCTGAGATCAGTTCCCGCCTCCCTCTCCCCCAAGGAGCAATATAGACACTAAAACTCTTTGGGTCTGAGGAAAATGCAGATTTGGGCCCAGCTTCGTGGGATGCCACTCCCCAGATGGAATCAAACCCCGACAAATTATTTAATGAATTGACAATGAAAGGTGGAATGTACACACTGATTGCTCCCCCAGGTAACAATTATTTACACTGCGTTTGATAGTAAATAGATTACCAACTTAAAATAACAGAAAATGCTTAGCTAATTCTGAAACTAAAACCTCAGTACAAACTTATTACAAACTCACCCTCAAGCTGTCCTTGTTCCAGCTAAGCTTTCAAACCAGGGAAGTCCCCACTCCCTGAGGTCTCTGGTTCATCCTCTTGGGTGTGCCACACCAGCCAAAGACAAAGAAACTGCCTGCTTCCTATTGTTTTCTAGATTCCACTTTGGGCGGGAATTCTGTTTCTACATTCCACCCTTCCATGGGAAGTTACCTGGCCAGCCCCTACCCTCCCTAACATCCTCAGCTGTGAAAACCAATGCAAATAATTCATTTAGTTTTTCTGCAAAGATCTTACCATCTTTGAGTGCTCCTTTGGCATCTCAATCGTTCAGGAACCCCACTGCTTGTTGAGAAGGCTTCCTGCTTCTGATGTACTTAAACACCGTTTTGCTATTACTTTTTGAATTTTTGGCTAACACTGTTCTTCAAATTCCTTTTTGGCTTTCATAGAATCATAGAACCATAGAGCTGGAAGAGACCTCAGGAGGTCATCAAGTCCAGCCCCCTGCCCTAGGCAGGACCAACCCCAACTAAATCAACCCAGCCAGGGCTTTGTCAAGCCAAGTCGTAAACGCCTCTAGGGATGGAGACTCCACTACCCCCCTAGGCAACCCATCCCAGTGCTTCACCACCCTCCTAGTGAAATAGTTTTTCCTAATATCTAACCTAGACCTCTCCAACCACAACTTGTGACCATTGCTCCTTGTTCTGCATCTGTCACCACTGAGAACAGCCTCTCTCCATCCTCTTTGGAACCCCCCTTCAGGAAGTTGAAGGCTGCTATCAAATCCCCCCGCACTCTTCTCTTCTACAGACTAAACAGACCCAACTCCCTCAGCCTCTCCTCATAGGCTTTCCTAATGATATTTTTATGCTATATATTTTATATGACTCCCATTGGTACACCATAGGCAAGAGCCAAGATTAGGAAGAGATTTCCTTAACAATGGGTTGCAGGGATTGTCTGTGCTCACTAAAGCACGTGAAGACAGACACTAAAGCACGTGCTCACTTTGCCTGGACTGCTGCTTGTGTCTCCACTAACCGTGTGTGGTTTACTTGCCATTGTACAGGAGGCCAGCAAAGCCCTGGGAGAGAGAGATGCAGAGAAAGCCACGTGTGAAAAGGGTTTCACAGCTCCAGTGAACGAAGGCAAAGCCTGAGGCCCGTACAACAGAAGAGAAGGCGGAGAATTGATCCTTATGAACTTGGCCTGTGCCAAAACAGGTTTCTGCAAAACTCAGGACTCAACAGTGTTTATTGTAAAGCTTGTTACAGTTTGTGTGATCGTGGAAGCAAAATGCCTAACCAGCAGCTTCACAAACAAAAATGTTTCAACAGCCCTACTGCTGAGAGCATGCGAAGCAGCGAAGCAGAAGCAAAGGGTCGGTGGGACCACTCCAAGTGGAACAAATGTTTTTTAAAAAGAAAGGGGGAATGACAAAAAACAACAAAACAAAAACCCTGGCACTAAGAAGGTTTATTGAGGCAGCTCATGTCCTGCTCATTTCAGTTCATATCAACTTTCCATACAATGCCCAGTATCCTCAACCATAAGTTGGCATGTAGGAGCTCTCCGTTGTACAATTCAGTATTGCATTTGGTTGTACCGCAATAGCACGACACAAGCCTATGTTGTTACTGTTGTTTTTTTAAAAATTGACTCAAGTGCTATGGATGCAAAGTGTCACGCTGTGCCTACTAGAACAAAGTTCAGAGCAGTGTACCCTGGGCTGTGTAGCGCAGTGTTATGGGCTTGAAAGCCAGATGCAGAGAGGTGACCTTCGTCTGCAATTTCTTTCTTCTCTCTCACTCCAGTATAGATTTCAAATGGGTTTCTGTAGCACAGGCTGACTTCTCTGGGGTCTGAACAATCTGTCTATTGTTACAGCCCTAACTGAATGCTTACTGGGTATGTTCAGCAGTGATGAGCTCGTGGGGGTTGGTTTTCTGTCGGGAGGTTTCTTGGACATGCTTCTGGGGATGTTCCAGTATGATGATAGTAACTGGCATTAAACTACTGCATTTCATCATGACTTTCCCATTTCCTTTTAGGAAACTGTTACAGGTGGCTCCCACTAGTGCTGCTTCAGTTAAGTTTTCCATCACTTCCATTATAACTCCTCTCTTTGGCTTTAAAATAGTGTTTCATTCTGGGAGTTAATTTATTTACGTTTTTTTAAAAGTTGAAACACAGTTTTCATTTTGTTGGCGTGCAAAAGATTGTATTCAGAAGCTGCTGTTCTCAGATACTTAATTTACAACCTGCAATCTACAAACAGGTTTTTTTTTTAAATGGAGTTTACAGCTTATTAGGGGTTGTGCAAAAAAAGCAGATGAAATGTTGTGGTTCAAAATGGTTATTTGGTCTCTTACTGCGCATATGTGGTACCAGGAATCATAGCTTCCCAATGAATATCTTTTATCCAACACTCACAGATGTTTTGGTGAGAGCTCTATTGATTGATCAGTAACCTACAAAGCACAGAAATGCATTGTGGATTATAGCTCTGACAGGGAAAACACATTTTCTGCACCATTATGGCTCCTTTGAAGTCTAGTACATATGACTACTTTAAAGAGACATTTTCATTACCTTTTTAAAACTGCTTTTAAATTTTTATTTACTCTCCATTGTTTGTAATAACCCCTTTTGAAGCTGGAAAATAAAACTTCTTTTCCTATCAGTTTTGTTTCCATTTAGCAAATACAGTATTTTATTTAGCTATTTCTTCCTTAATGCTGGAAAAAAAAAATTAGAAAACAATGAATGGTCCAGCATTCCTTAATGCTGCAACAACCACCTGGCTCTCTCTTGTCACTTCTCAGCCTCTCATTCTGTATCTAGTTAGAAAGCTGCTTCAACAAAGTAACTCTGTAATGGATTTGAACCGTGTTAAATGCAGAACTTAAAGCATAAGCCCCACACTATCTCATTTAAAAGTAGTCTGAATTTTTGTCCTGAACAGGATAGAAAAGCCCCTTGAATGAATCGGCTGATGCACTAGCGAGTCCATCAGGGCGGAAGACTCAATCATTACTTGCACTTCCCCTTTTTTGTTAGGAGACTGACTGTATTTTAAAACCATCTGAAGCCCTGAGGCAGGATGCTTAAATAATGGGAGGAGCTTAACCTCAACCCCTCAACCAGAGGGGTTAAAATCTGTCCTTTGTCTTAGTTCACACTCTGGCAATGCCTGCAAGGGTTAATGGGTCCATCCATTCTAGTGTATCGTATCTTTGTTCTGCACAACGAAGTAGATTCAATGTAGCATTTGAGTCTGAACACTGAATGTCCTGCCTCTAACCTCTGTTCATCAGACCTTGTCATCTCATTTGAATCTGGTTTTGTCCCTAGGGATCAGCCTGCCTCCTACATCCCCTGCCCTCCTCACACCAACCATGAGTCCTGCACCGCCCTGTATCTGCATGCCCCTGCTCTGACTACTGTGCTCCCCACACTCCTAGCCCCTGCCATGAGTCCCTCCGTAGCTGACCCAAGCAACGCCAGGTAAATATGCTAGTATAGTTATACAGTAAATCCAGGGGGATATACAAGTGCAGTGCTTCCATTTCCATGTCTAGTACAAAGAGCAATATAAACAAATTGTCTCTAAAGAACAGAACATAAGAACGGCCGTACTGGGTCAGACCAAAGGTCCATCTAGCCCAGTAGCCTGTCTGCCGACAGTGGCCAACGCCGGGTGGACCAAAGACAATGATCAAACGATTTGTCTCGTGCCATCCTTCTCCAGCCTCTGACAAACAGAGGCCAGGGGCACCATTCCTACCCCTTGGCTAAGGATAAAATGTTAGTTTGTACTAACACTTTTTCTGTAGCCAGTTGTAAAAAGAGACAAACATCTAGCTGAGTTGATATACCCCCTAGGAAGACCTCCGTGTAGACACCCATATCCCAGGAGACTCTGTCATAAATCTGGCTATACCCAGCGGGCAAACCTGGTGAGGGAGGTTCTCCATGCTCTTTAGAAGCCTACTGGCTACCTGTGCTGTTTCTGTAGGTCAGCTTTCAGCCTGCGGCATGCTGCAGCCCCATCCATTGCTCCAGTGTGTCTCTACAGCTAGGTGAGGCAGTTGTGGCATTGTACATCATCATGCTGTAGCTCTGCAGTCACTCCTACTGGTGCTGGTATCCCTGCGGCGGGGCTCATAGGAGGGAGGGGAAGGCGACAGCGCAAAAGCAGATCAATTCCCAAGCAGGGAGGCCTATCTGGATCCGCCGGTTAGCTCCATAGTATCTTTTCTTATTTACTTCTGCAAATGGACTCTGGGGGTCTCATGCATGTCATTGTGGAGGAGGAGGGGTTGCTAAGAAACCTGCAACTCGATGACGACAGGATGTGATCTCGAAAGCCCTTCGTTCTGCTTGTGTGGCTCTGGGGCAGAGGGCGCCCCCTGCTGCATATGGTCAGTGGTGCAGTGAGGGAGAAGAGATTTCTAACTACCCCTGCTAACTGGCTGGGCCCTGGATGGTTTCCTTGGTATCCTTACCTCCTTTGCATAAATGCAAATCTGATTCACGTGTCCAATAGGATCAGCTTTTGTTTTAAAGCCAGGATAAAATATTTCCTTTTCTCTGCCTCCCCCCGTGAAGGCCGCAGGAGTAGAGAAGTTGCCACGCCTGCTGCCAAGGAGCATTTGTCTTGCTACAGCGCCTGCCTCTGCCTATGGAAGGGGTTCCCAATAGGGAGGCAACACAGAGTTTAATCAACTAATTGATGAGTCGATGGATTTTCAGCTGATTCCCGACTTGCACCCTGTCCCAGACACTGCACCAGCTGGCTCTTTAAAAGGCTAAAGCGCAGCAGGAGGGACTCTATGCAACTGGGAATCAGCTGGCGCTGGGTCCCCCTGTGGTGCTTTAGCCTTTTAAATGGATTAAGAACCTACTGGTTCTTAATCCATTTCAAAAGCTAAAGTGCAGTGGGGGAGGGACCCAGTGCGAGCCAGGAATCAGCTGTCCCGACTCGCACTACCCCCTCCCCACCCCCCGGCGTGTCTGCTTTTTAAATGTATTAAGAGTCAGAAGGCTCTTAATACATTTAAAAAGCAGGGTGCAGCATCTGGGACTGGGTGCGAGCTGGGAACCAGCTGATTCCCAGCTCGCACCCAGTCCCCGCTACCCCCCCTGCTATCCCTGCTTTCCATGTCCCTGGCTCCTGCTTCCCCGTTGCTGCCTCTGATGGAGGCAGCAACAGGGGGGAAGCAACTAGTCGAGGGACTGGTTGACCATCCAGTAAACTTTTGCTTATTGGATAGTCAACTAGTTGCTTGCATCCCTAGTTCCCAATACTGGCCCCCCACCATCTGCTGCTGTAACGTTGTTGATTGCAGTCTTGTCAGTCATCACAAGCTACATAGAGGTAGGCCTGGTCTGTAGGTGGATGGGAGACTGGAGCATGGTTCAAGTAGCACCACTGATCATATAGCAAACTGCTTTCTTCCCTTGGACTGCAGAATCAGTACTCCCCCCAGGGAGCTAGTGCTGCTGGAGGCATCATCTTACAGATGGCACGGTCGCCTTGGCTTTAATGAACGTGGCCAATGAAGATCTTACTGCACTTTTGTAAAGAGTAGCGTGCCTTTCCAAAGGGCATGGAAGCATCTCTGATCAGCAAGCTCTGCCTCCCTTAGGGCCAACCCAAACTGGGGAGCTCTTGCTTATGCCTAGAAAAGCCTTGCCCCCCAGAAGTCGAACAGCACATAATGGGTTTTATTCTTTTTCTGCCATATCCACTGAGCTGCCAGCTCAGCTGACTGGGGGCAGGGAGGGAATCCTCATGCTTGATACCTCCATGGGAAGAGCAGAACAAGAGAGCTTTTTGTCCTCTTGTTGATGGTCTGCCAGGAGATTCCAGTCCTCACCTCCCACATGATCGGCCCCATATGGAGGAACTTCTTTCTCCTTTCGGGAAGGTCCTGCCACCCTGGTGGCAGATCAGCCCTTCATGCTAATGAATGTGACTCTCCTGGGTGGTGGTTTACAGAGTCACAGAGGATCGCTATCCAGCCACTCAGGCATTGCCTTACAATCTAGGACGGAGGTGCTCTAAGGGAGATGAAAACACGGCCACTCACAGGCATTCAAGACAGGCTCAGGACGTTCTTGGCAGGCTAATGCCTATTGTAACGGTGGCAACGCGCAGGTGAGCCAGAATGCTTCCAGTGGCGAACTTGTCTGTGTCCAGCTGAAACCAGAAGGCTTTGGCATGACCTGGCCTGCCAGTGTGTCTCTCATCCTGTCCCATGAAAAACACCTTGTGTCCGTCAGCACAGGGCCACGTGGCACCCAGGCCCGGTATGGACTTGGAGATGAAGCAGCTACCTCTGTGATATCGTTCGCTGAAGTATTGACAAACTTCCCCCCAGGTCGGCTAACAGTATTCAACCAGCAACTGGCCAGCTTCTGCTCTTCCAAACCAATCAGCTGGGTTGGATGCCTTTGCATGAACAAGGGGAAAGCAGAAACCTGGCTAGTGAGTTTTCTTATATCTGTATAAGAAATGCTTTGTCCTTAGTGCCTCAGCACTGTGGCTTTCCACACCCTTCGCCAAATATAACCAAGCCTTGCAAGACGCACAAGTAGGTTGTGTTAGCTGCTTTGTCTATAAACTGGGGCCAAGGAGGCACGTGAACTAACACAATGAGCCTACAACAGAGTTGGGACACAACCCCAGACCTCCAGGTTCTAGTCTTTCAGATGTCTGGATTCCCTTCTTCATGCTAGCCATGGGGGATGGATCCATGCGATCCAGCTATCGAAAATACAGGTCAAGGCACTAGCTTGTCCTCCTTGTACATGACATGGTTCCTACCTCAATGTCAAAACGCCTCACAAGCGTGCTGCACGCTGTGCTTGGTAAAACGTGTGTGTGTGTGTGAGAGAGAGAGAGGAGAACATCTCACTTCTTGCTTAATTATAGCAACTCTGTTCCTATAGTGGCAGTCTGCTCCTATGTGGCAAAGGGTTCCTTGGATGTGGGTACGTGACTGCTGTAGAAATAAGATCAGGTGAAACTGAACCCAGAAGAGGCAGTGTGTGCATGGTTGGGCTCGAATAACGTTTGTCTTTTTATTACCACTAGACGATTTACCCGGCGTTGCTCGGGTCCTTAACTCAATTAATTTTTTGTTTTCTGGAAACATGCCTGGTTGGAATCGTCGTTGGGGGGCGGGGGATAAGGGGTTCATTATGCAGGCTGCCCTGAAGACCGACAACTAGCCCAGCCCTCTCTCGTCGCAGCAGTTTGGGGCCAGGTGAGAAGCACCTCTCCATGGCAGCTGCAGCTCCCATGTCTCCCAGCTGGGGCACATCCAGGTTCATCTGCCCCTGCGCTCCTCATCCAGAGTGAGGAATGCAGCAAACCGTGCACTTTCCCTTTGCTCTCGGACGGAGGGAAACAGCCAGCAATGTTCCTGTACGAATTGGCGGGGAGCATGAGTCCGCCCTCCTTAAAGGGCAGATTGGAGCTGGGACAGTCCTGGATTTAGGGGAGGGACACCCCTTCAGCCATCCCCTTTCACCTGCCTGGTGATTCTCTTTTCTGTTTGGTTTTCTGAGAAGCAACCCCATTCCAGGCATGTCCCATTTTCCTGGCACAACCAGAGGAAGCTGTATTCCAAATTTGGTGGTCCTAGCTCTTGAACAAACAGACAAACTCTCTTA